TCGTACAAAACCCCCGGGTGAAACCTGGGGTAGGAGCTGTGGCTGTTTCTCTGCAGCGTGAGGCTTTACTGTCAGCCTTTTTCAAAAGGGCACTCAAAATGAAGAAACCAGGTACGTGACCGTGCATTTGTTGGAGTTAGGACAGACTTCACCTTCCTGGTGACCTACACAGCTCACGTGTGGACAGTCATGAGCGCTCTGTGTTGAAGTACAAAGGACCCCACTAATATTTACAGGAACCGTGAATATGAGTGGAAAGCTCTGCCTGCACTTGGGACTTTTCAGTTTTTATATTTTAAAAAAACCGACTTCCTATTCACTCAATTCCAGGCACGTACATAGAGGTGGGTGGGAGTGTGGGTTTGTGGACGTGAGACCTAGGGACAGCCTGTGTCGACATCCCAGATTATAATAGGGATTCAAGTCACCACACTCAGGCTTCAGAAAAAACCAATAGTTTCCACCTTAGGAGCATTTTAGAGAAAATCAAATATAAGGGAAAAAACCCTTCTTATTAAATTGAATTGTGGTCTAACAGTTTGCCACATCCTGTTGAGGGACATCTGACTAAGTAAGCAGAGGAGAGGTTCCTCTTTCAGGCATGTTGTGAGGGTCACATGTCACCTGCAGTTCAAAACACCTCTATAAAGAGAAGCCTTCATGCTGGTGGAAAAGCTGAATAAGAAGGTGGAAATTATCAGTGGAGAGAAGCCACTGTGTGAACCCGTGGGTGTCACTGACATGGCCATATCAGAGAGAAACCCACCCAGAGGAACCAGCAGAGCCCAGGGCAACGTGGGCTGATAGGGACCCGGAACTGTGACCTCATGGAAGAGAGTGGTGGGGGCAGGAGGGGGAGTCAGAGCCTCAGCCTAGACATCAGCCAGTCATGCTCCTCAGGTGGGACCTTCATTCACTGTGAAATGGGAGCCAAGTGTTCCTCTCAGGGGCGTGGCAGAGCCTATGACTGTGGAACAGAGCGCCTTTTCATGTGTAGATGTGCTTTGTATCGTCCTACTGTCTTCAACAGTGTGGACAGTTTTGTGGGACATCATCATGCAGTTTCATTGTTGCCCATCTTTAGTTTCTCTTAGCTGGTCCCTGCACCCCTTGGTCCCATGGAGAATGTGGGAAGATCCTAGAGGATGTTTGAGCTAGTGTAATGGTTTCTCTGCCTTCCTGTGAAGTTGGAGGCATTGTGATCCCAGCCAGACACAGTGTGGCTAGGACAAGAATGGAATCTACCCACCTAGCACTTCTGCCTCGACCTGTTAGAGGAGAGGACTGGTCCTTCACCTGAAGCCATGTGGCACCAGGTGCTCATTGGCAGGCCTTGGAATCCCCTGGGAACTCAGTGACTTGCCCGTCAGGACCAAGAAAGCAAAGTAGCCTTGTTGTGGCCCACTGCAGCCAGCTGGGGACATGTGGAGCTGGAGACTCGACGAGTCTTTTCCCCAGTCCACTCTGGGCTCTCCCTCGGAGGCTCAGGTGCCTCAGTGGGCAGCAAGGGGAACCCCATATCTCATGTTTCTTCCTCTTTCACCTTTCAAGCAGATATTATTTTCCTGTGGTCTGTAGGATCATGAGTGACTGGAAGATTGTCAGCTGCTTCACTTAATGCCTCTACCCTCTCCTAAGAATCACTATCACCCCTCAGGTCTCTGTACTGTCCCATTAGTATTACTTCTCAGGCCCCTCTCTGCTTGCCTCATTATTATCACCTCTGCCCACCCTCCTATCCATGTCATTATTATTCCTCAGAATTACCTCCCGCCCCATTGTTACATTGGCTCAGGCCTCCCTCTTATGTCATCATTGTTACTCAGACCTCCCTCATTGCCCACAGATTACTCCTCCAGCTGCCCTCAGAGCTCATTATTGTATCATTAGTCTCCCTCCTGCCACATTATTGCCTGTCAGACCTCTCACATCCCATTCTTCTTCTTCTTCTTCAGACCTCCTTCACATCCCGTCATTATTACTCCTCGGAACTCTCTCACACCCTACGACTACTCTTCAGAACTTCCTTCCCTCCTTACCATTGTTACTCCTCAGACCTGTCTGCACTCTTGCTCATTTTGGGGGGTGGGTGGGTACCAGAGATTGAACTCAGGACCTTGCACCTACACGGCAAGTGCAGGGCCACTGGGCTAGGTCCCGGGCCCCACCCTTCACCATTATTACTCCTGGGGCCTTCCTCACACTCCCTCATTATTACTCCTCAGAACTCGCTCACATCCAGTCATTACTCTTCAGAACTTCCTTCCCTCCTCATCGTTACTCCTCAGACCTCTCTTCGCTCCCCCTCAGAACTCCCACCTCTCTTAATCAGTATTACTTTTCGGACCTCCCTCACACCCCATTATTATTACTCCTCAGAGCTCCTTCACATTGCATCATTGTTACTACTGATGCCTCCCTTGTGTCTCCCTCACCGCCTCTCAGACCGCCTCCTCATCTCACCATTATTACCATTCAGACTCCCCGTCTCTTATCGCTTTTACTTCTCAGACCATTACTTTTCAGGCCACCCTTCTGTCATCACTGTTACTCACTTCTCAGGCCTCCCTCCAGTCCCACTATTATTATTCCTCAGTCCTTCTTTACATCTCATTATTATTATACCTCAGGTCTTCCTCCTGCCGCTGTAATCATTAGTACTCTTCAGCCCTCTGTCCACCCCTCAATCACTGTTGGAATAGATTTCTGGTCTGTTGCTCAAGACTCCCTGAGATTCGAATGAGCCCTATAACCCTAGCTGTCTTAGTGTAGTGCATTTGAACATTCTCTCACTTCTCCTTGTGTGAGACTAATTCAAAAGTACCCAGAGCCTGTGAACTTTCTTCTTGTCCTGAGTAGGTAGCTTATTTCCCCATTTTGGCCCCTACATCTTTCCAGGCCTGCCTGCCCACCCGCTTAGGTGAGGGTCACTGGCCCAGGAGCTTAGGGCTGGGTGTTTGTCCAGACTCTGTCCCGCCGTGGGAATCTGATCTGGGGAACAGGCATCCAGATCTGTCCTAGACCCCAAGCTTAGGGCCTGAGGTAGATGGGTGGGATGCCCCCACAGCACCTTGTCACTGTCAAGGACACCAGAGACAAAGGGTGAGGTTGTTACTGTTATAACTTGTGTCTCCACCTCCTCACCAAAGGAGTACTAAGCCATCCATACCCTTCTCTTTGGTAATGAGAAATCCTAATTGCAGACAAGCTTTTGTTTTCCTAAGAAAATACCTTAAAAAGAATCTGGAGGTTCGTGATTTTTCTTTGTCAAATGTTCTTTGATGTGACAATGATGAGGCAAAATATAAATCAGACATGCGGCTCTTTACAAAAAAGGCTCAACAAGTTGAGGAGACAGAAGAGCTGAGCAGCTCTAGTTCTGGGCACCCTGGGCACCCTGCCTCAGCTGGATGAGCCAAGCACAGCACAGCACAATGCCCAGGGCAGGAGAAGGATGAGAAAGGCCCTGTGGCTTTCAGGCAGGGACACGTGCTGTACCAAAGAGATGGCTTCTGCCCTCGCTGGTGCCTGCTGCCCAGAGCTTCCCAGAGCTGTGCAGTGGCCCTGCACCTGTCTGCCGAGTGTCATGGAAAGTGCCAGTAGCTATGGAACTGCCCATGAGCACTCCAGGGACAAGTTGGGTCCTGAATGCTGGTCCTGGACCAGCCATGAGCACCTGGACCATGTTATTTCCTCATTAGTGGCTTCAAAGAGTCACAGGGCAGGAGGGAGCCTGCCTTCGTTCTGGTATTTTCTGTCTTGAAGGCCAGGACCCTCTTCTAAGTGTGGCTGGCATCCTTTGCTCAAGGATCAAGCCCAGATTCCCTCAGAGGGGCCCTCGAATGACGGCCACCTGTGGGGAGCCAGCCTGAAAGCCAGCTGGCTGCTTCTGTCTTTGTTAGTGAGCTTGGCTCCTGGGAGAGCAGCCCAGGATGGCACTGGCAGGGCCAGTCAGGACAGTGGTGGTTGGGCTGGGACTGTGGGGAGCCTCACCCTGCATGGGGTCTCCTGCCAGGCAGCCCCTCTGGGCAAGCCCATGTTTTGTTTGTGTCCAGGGTTCCTTCTGTTATCAGTTCCCATGACACAATTCCTGGTTCTCCCATCTACGTTTATTATTGTTATTCTTAAAAATAGTTGGGGGGGGGTGTTGAAAGGGAGTTTAGGGAGGGAGCAGGGTGATGAAATGCACACCCACTGATGGCTCCAGGAAGCCGCCCTAGACGCCAGGCCTTGGAGGCGCACACGCTTTTATCTGGGTGCAGGCACTCCAGCCCATGGCAAAGGGAAGCCTGGGCAGTTCCGTGACGTCAGTGCAGGCTTCCCCCCTCCCAGCTCTGCTAGGAAAGTGGGACTTGGTGACAGCCCGCCTGGTGGCATTTCCTATCACAGTGCAGATCGGGTGGTCACAGTGGGAGGTGGGGTGGAGAGGGGATGCTGTGCGACTCAGTGATGGCCTTTGCCAGCTCTTCTTTGTTTCCTGTCCATCTGCCAGAAATCACACATTGATAGTGACCATCATGGTGGATGCTGTGCCTTGACCATCTACGGGGAAACAAAATGAAGGAAAAGCCCCAAAGGGAGGCATTGGGTACATGTGGGGACCCTTCTTTCAGCTGCTGGGCAAGGTCCTGTCCTCGAGAGACCATGTGTGTCAATGTGTGTTTTGTAAACCCAGGAAATGTCATGTGTTGACTCCTGCCCTAGAGAGGTCCACTCAGCATCTGAGCGCCTGATGCCTCTCCCCTGCATGGGCACCATTGAATCTCAGGGTTTCTTGCCACCATGCTGGTCGACCAGAGTGAAGCTAAGTGCAGGAGCTCAGGACCTTCATGGCCATGGAGGAAACGAGAGAGAAGTGCCGGTTCTTTTGGGAGATGCCTCATCACAGCTGAGCATAACTGATTAGAAGCATGGCTGATGGCATTTCCTTGTTGTCTACGTCTAAGTTTGCTGCAGAGTGCTGCTTGCCTAATGCTTTCTCTCCTCTCATTTTCTTGCAGTAAATGAAATCATACGCAATGATCTCTCCAGCACAAACCCCCACTCCTAGGTGGCAACGTTGAAGCTGGCAGAAGCTGTGTGGAATTGGCTCAGTGGGGACAGCTAAGCCTCAGCAAGTGAGACTTGTGATGAAATGAACTGAACACACATCTGGTACCACTCAGAACTTCCAACAGACTGAACGCTAGGAGCTGAAGACTACATGGACATAGAAGAAGCCCTCTAACAAGAAAAGAGGGAGGCAGGCCACCACATCTCCTGAAGGAAAAGCCATCTCAAGAAAGCAGAAGGGTGGGTGAGGCCAGGGATGGCCCTCACAAGTAGGGCCTGGCATGCAAGCGAGCCCTAGCCTAACTGTCCCGCACCTTGGATCTCAGTACTGGAAGAAGTGCCTTACTTACTCAGACTGCCGCGTCAGGGCATCGTGGACTTGAACGTTGGATTTACCACCACAAGAGTATTTGTAGAAGCAAAAGCTATAAAAACATTTCATTATGAGGCTTTATCTGTTGTATAAATTAAGAGAATTCTGGCAAGCTAGGACTTGTGAGAGAAACCTAGTATGACTTCCTACTTATTTCATCTTTTCCTGGGCTGTACTATACAATTCTGTTGCCTTATCCAGTGCATTTTAGAGATCCTCCAATCTGCCATCTCAGCTCTCTCATACTATATTCCCTCCTCTGTGTGCATAAAACCATAAGATTATTAATAGTAGCATGCTAGGAATTTTTATTTTTAATCTTGCTTCGAACATAGCACAAGGAAGTTAAATAGCACAAGTAGGGTACTGGACAAAAAGGAAACCTGTCTGTCACAGGATAGATCTTGCATTTGCATGTGTGTACATATATAAGCATATGTTTATGTATCAGTAGTACGTGACAGAGACAGTGATGATCAGTCTGTGCCCAGTGGGGCTTCCATGCTAGCAATAACCAGTATCCACTTTGGAGAATGCACCTGAGTCTAGCCTTGGCTTCCATCGACTTCCCATTGAGTCTGTAACCCCACACAGACAGGCAGCATTTTCTCTTCTCATGCAGTTACAGAGCACTTTAGATTGTGTAGAGGTGCATTCAAATGCCCGTAGTTTAACACATAGCAAAATTGGGAAGTGATTGTAAATAACATTACAACAGGAGTGTAATATATTTGTTTAATTATAGGATTATTATTTCACAGAAGCCTTATAGCTAACTCTCTGCTTCATCTAAGAAAACAATTACCAAAAACAATGTTTTCAGATGCAGCTACTGTATATGTAGTATGTTGTCAGATTAGTTCCTGTTAACAGATAGGTTAGTGTAGGCTTTCCTGCTGCGTTTTGTATAATTAACTGCTTATTACACACTATTACTAGTAATGACCTATTGTTTCATATAACCAAAAAGCATGGTTTAATTAAAACCTGTTTAACCTAACACAGTAATTGTGCCTTAGGAGTTAACGCCCCCTTATGGAACATGCCTGAATTGCACCTCGGGTGGAGGTTGTAAGCTACAGTCATGGACAGGAAGAATCATCTTTATTCGTCTGTACGACTATGTCTTACCTTTTTCTAACTCACAGAAAGAAACAAAAATCTGAAAGCCATATCTGAGCGTTTGGACGCGACTGTGAAGAGCTGATGTGCGACCGCGTTGTACGTACGCTCCTGCCCGACCGACCATGGCCCTCTCACCTGCAGCCCAGATTTTTGCCCTGTGTTAACCCTCATAGAGTTGCATGAACCATTTCTGAGTAGACTATCATATGAAAGGAAGCGTTTGATCTTTGTGTCAGCTGTCTTTGTAGTCAGAAAATGGATCCAATAAAGCAGTATTTTTTTTTTTTTTTTTTTGCTGGACAGTCTTAGCCTACAAGTAATATTCATTACTTGTATGGAAAATCCTACTTTGTTCTTCATTGCACATACATTAGATGGTCTGTAAGAAGTGTTTCATGCTGCTAAAGCTGGATGTTCATGCAATCATTTAAATGCAGAAAGAAGTGTGTTTTGCTGTAGAGTTGTCGTTTTTCCTGATGTGTTTAAAGGAAAACCTGTCTGAAATAAGTGGATCTGTGGTATAGTTCTCAGGTACTCTAAACAAAACATTTCAAGACTGTTCATCCAGGCCAAGTGGAGAAGAAACTTTTACTTATGCCAGATATTTTTGCTCGAGAAATATCCTGGGCGAGGCTTGGACCACACACACACTCCCATGTGATTTGCCTATCAGTTCAGCAAGTGCATGTTTGTGCTAACTGCTGTGTTCCATGCCACCTCCTGCCTTTGCTTCTCTAAGCTACTCTTCTCTCCCCCACCCTAATTTTCTCCTTCAAACTTGTCTGGGAAGTAGAATCAAGCCATTCGCTGACCAAACGTGAATCCTGGGTCTCTCTGAAACAATATTTCACCTTCAGGGCATTATAAAATGCTAAACTCTCAGTCTTCTTTGCTAAGAGATTAACAAATTAGTGAAAGTACTAGAGAAATCACCCTCACCTAAAGCAGTGCGAGAACTTCCTACCTTGGTAATTCTAGAGTAAGCCCTACAACAAGGCCACTGGGAAAGTGACAGAGGAGGGCTTGAGAGATGGGGGTATCCCCATATTTAGAATCTCTGACCTCTCATGAATGGTGAGGCCCCCCAGTCGGTGATGTTGGACAGGAGGCCAAAGGCTTGTGGTTTACAGAAAGCTTAGAAGCTCCCATCCCCTCACTCTACGGGGAGCTGGGCTTTGGGGATAGTAGCTTGTGCTAGGCAGGAGTTCAGTGGAAGCTATGTCTCCTAAAATGAGTTTTGTAAATCCCTATTTCATCCAATTTCAACAACAGAATTTTAAATACCTTATTTATTAGTTTTTGTGCCTTTTGGGTTGATTTTGAGTAATATTACTACATAAGCCATGGGTCCCTTTCTAGCAGGGGCTTTTGCCCAGCAGGAGGAACCCATCACAGTAGTCACGTGAGCATGAGAAGTAACCTACATCCCCCTGGGAGGCTTGATGGGGCACAGGGGCTCTCACAGCATCTGTCCTTGGGGACCAAAATCACGCTGGAGCCTCCAGGAAAGACAAGTCTTCTTAGGTTTGTTTTTCATGAGAAAAGCAGGAATCAATGACATTTAGGGTAAATCTACATCTGCTTCATTGCTCTGAGACCGAGCAGGATGGAAAACTTATGTGATAAACGTCAGATTTCTCCTCATAACCAAGTGAGGCCTTAGTAAAAAGTCAAATGTTTGAAGATCACATCGGCCACCTGAGAGCTCGTTACCGGGGCAAGCCTACCTGATACCCCTCCCATCCCCACCTATCCAGCAGTGCTCCTGTCACTAGGCTGGTTCAGAGACCCTGCAAGTGCTGCTCCTGCTGGCTCTGCCACACTCCTGGGTAGGAGCTGTGTCAGAGCAGCCTCCCTCAAAACACAAAGCAAGTGCTTTAAAACGTGTTCCCTGTTGCAGTAAGTAAACTGAATATGAGAGTGTGTGGATGAGAGAGAGGAGATCTAAAGGGAGGAAGCCAACAGCAAGATGAAGCTGAGGTAAAAGGACCTCGAATAGAGAAGTCCTCGATCTGTTTTTCTTCTTCTCTTCCCCCTCCTCTTATCTTGCCACCTCCTCCTCTTCTTCCTTTCTTTTCTTTCTTTTTTTTTTTTTTTTTGGTACCAGGGATTGAACTCAGGACCTTGCACTTTCAAGGCAGGGTGTGGCACCACTAAGCTAAATCCCCAGCCCCTCTTTTTTTTTTTTAAGAAAAGTGAAAATCACAAGATCAAATTACCATTTTAAAGCATACAGTTCACTGGTACTTTTTACATTTACAAAGCTGTGTAGCCACCACCTCTGTCTAGTTCCAAACTATTTCCATCACCCCGAAAGAAAAGCCCACACCACCTTCTTCTCCCCCTCCCCCTGAGAGCCACTGCTTAACTCTGTCAGTGTGGATCTGCCCACTCACTTCACAGGACCAGAATCCCTGACGCATGGAACTGTGTGGCTGGCTCCTTGCACTCTGCGTTCTCCTGAGGCCTGTCCCTGGAGCGGCATGTGTTGGGACTTTGTCCCTTTGTCGGGCCAAATTGCCCTCCATTGTGGACACACTTGGACTGTTTACTGCTCACCGACCGACAGACACCCACGGCGAGTATCCTCTGAGCACTTCTGTGCTGGCATTTTTCAAGTCCCTGTTTTCAGCCCTTTGGGTGAATGCCCAGGCCTGGAGCACCTAGTTGTGTGGCAACTAAGTGTAACTTTCTTTTTAAGAGACTGTTCTCTCTGCTCAGCCTTTAAATGATCCATGCCTGAGACAGACCCCAGCTCACTAACCTAATTTGGAATCACATATGTGAAGCACATCATATTTATAATTCTTTATGCCAAAAAAATTAAGTTAGGTCTAAGATGACTAACTGTTCACTTGCACCAAGGCAGAAAGCAGACCCCCTGGCATCCGCCTGTGATGGCTCCCAGCAGAACCAGTTCGTCTTGGGTTTCTGCTGGGAAGCAGGGACCTTAAATTCGTATGTGTTTGAGCCATTCAGATGGGGCCGGCCAGAGCCCGCAGTGACACTCCCTGTACTTCACACACACACTGATGCAGCAGAGAGAGGCATCTTGGTAAAGGTGAAGACCTTCAGCATGGTGGAAAAGCAGCCACTGAGTGAAGGTGCTGCAGCTTAGGGAGAGGTGCCCTAGCCTCCCGGTTGTGCAAACAGAGCTGCTTGTTGTGTGACCAGAGCAGCTGCTGTCTTCCCTTGGCCTTTGGTCTCTGACCAACAGATTTCCAGAATGGGTCCCATCCTCCCAACAGGAGAGAAGGCTCCCTCTCAAAGTGCAGCCCCAAGTGAGCAGTGAGCTGCACTGTTCCTAATGGGCTTAATTATTGCACTTTTCATCCCCAGCAGCCATCCTTCTTTTTCCAAAAAGGAGGAGGAAAAACGCTAATGAGGATCTATTTTGGGAGTGGCTGGAGTCACATCTGCAGGGAAGGCGACTGAATGACTGAAGCCAGGGTGGTGAGCCTCACTGCGGTCGCTTCCGAGTTGCTGCTGTCTGTCTGGCCTGACCTGGGGGCTGGGAGGATGAGAGGCTGAGCTTGGCCATGCTCCACACAGCCCTTCCCAGCTGACAGTCAGCCGCTGTCTGCAAACTGTTCTCCACAGTGCACATGTGCTGGCTCCAGAGACCTCTGGAGATGTGTGAAAGTTGCTTTGCAGGGCCTTTGGATTGTGCATGCATCATAGGCTCCGTAGAACTCTCCCATTCTCACACTGCCATCGCAGACCGGGGAGCTCTAGAGGCACAGCCGGGCCCCCACATTGCATCTTTAGAGTCATGCCTGCGCTGCGGGCTGTCCCCATGGCCAAGGGAAACCCTTGCTTGGAATGAGGTGGAGATGTAAGGCTCCGTCAGCTGTGGATAGCCGTTGCTCAGTGGCCAGCTAAGGAGCGTCTGGTTTTTCTTGGCACTGGCCATTCCTCGAGATGAAGGGGCTCTGATCCTCTGAGGGAGGAAGGCACCTAGGACACAGGAGCCAAGACCAAGGCTCACCATGATCGTGGCTCCAACTTGGCACAGTCAACAACAGCGTGCACAGTTGTGTCCCACACCCCTCTGGGGACCCCCCAGGCTGGGCTCCCTTTTCACTCCAACCCATCCTCACCATGTTGCTCCCAATCCTGGGGCAGAGATTTCCACTTGTGACCTTCAGAGAAACTTCTGAGCCTCCATTTCCCCATATGGAGTACAGGGCGGTTGGGACTCCCTTAGACAGTTGTGAATCAGTGAGGAGCCGTAAATATCTACAGTGATTCCAGAGCTGGGGAGAGGGAAGGTGGCAGGTTTTAGTCCCCAAAGCACAAGGCAACATTTCTGGACATGTGTGCTCTCAAGCCTTGTCCTTTGGTGCCCAGGGGCAGGACATACCCCTCCCCTGGCTTGGGCAGACCTGGTGCTAGCAATGGCAGCACTGCTTCTACTGTGTCCTTGAGGGATACTTGCCTGGGAACCTGGCCACCATGCTTTGAGGAAGCCTGGGTAACAAGGGAGGGCTGTGTGTCCCATGTGGATGTGCCAGAGAAGGCCCATGGCGGGGGCACATGAGGGACTGAGAGCAAGCTCAAGGCTTCCATCCCAGCAGACACTGAGGACAGCAGAGCCAGCTGTCCTGGGCTAACTTCACCCGGGCTGCAGAATGAGTTTTGTTCTCTTAAGTCATTAGCTTCTGTGGTATGGGTTGTACAGCAGCAGATAACAATCAAGAGACAACCGGCTGGGGACTGCAGGACCACAGAGGGTTGTGACAAGGATCTAGGCTTCTACTGTGAGGCCAGTTAGCACCCATGGAAGGCTGAGGCAGCGTAGGAGCACGAGCTGACCCCAGATTTATAACAATTGCATGAGCAGTCCCTGAGACCACGAGAGACAGATTTATCGTTCACAGACACAGTGATGAGTAAAATAACAATCCAGGTCACCTGCCTGGCTCTTTGAGTGGAGATGATCATCTTCAATCTGTTCCAAGGTGGAGGCCCCAGATAGCCCTAGAAGAGCTGGGTGGAGCCTGCAGTGGCCCTCAGGTGCTGCTCTCAAGGGCCATCCTGGACCCTGACTGCTGGGCCTAAATGTTCTCCCTCTGTGCAGAATGGAGGCTGCTTCCATCTCCATGGGAATCCACCAGGGCCTCTTGAGTTCTTCAAGAGGGTGCCTGAGGGGCAGAGTAGCCCCTAAGACCAACCTAAGCTCTTGGTGGGCTCAGCCAGCCCATGCCTGGGCAGTGGCTTTGAGGACTTCTGAGCAAACACCCTGAGCAGAGTGTTCCCTCTGCCACTCCCCAGCCCTGTGCCTGC